AATGGGGATAATAAAAGAGTCCCTAGTTCATAGACTGATAACTAAATGAGGTTATGCATATAGTGTTTGGCACAGGGCCTGGCATCATCTTGCTGCTATTCTGTCATTCTGCCTCCAGTTTCCTTCCTGTCCCTTGGCGCTGTGTACCAGGAGTGTGGGGAGAAGGGCAGGCAGCACTGGGCCATAGCACCTGTTTTCCTTGGTCTTCCCGTTGTAGCTTCTGTTTCTCTAGTGAATGTGATGTGCTGGTTCACTTTCCAAGTTGCTTAGCAGACAATTGAAGAAAACAAGGGTACTTGTTTAAATAGCTTTGCAGACCTTTCCTCCCGCTTAAAGAAGTATGGTAACAAAACCACTGCAGCCTCACAGAAATCCGTGTGCAGACAGCTGCGTTTACCATTCTGTTTAGTGTGACCTGGACTCCATCCAGCTGTGGGTGAGAAAACAGAGGCGTATATTTGAGCCTCTGATGGGAAATACTTGATATTCTCAGGTATCAACCTGGGTAAAAACCCCTCCCTCTTCACCATCAATCAAAAACTTCAGCTTTGGCTCAGCTGGCGTGGCTCAGTGGTTGAGCATCGATCTATGAACCAGGAGGTCACGGTTCAATTCCCGGTCAGGGCACATGCCCGGGTTGTGGGCTCAATCCCCAGTAGGAGTCGTGCAGGAGGCAGCCGATCCATGATTCTCTCTCATCATTGATGTTTCTCTCCCTCCCTCCTCCCTTATTCTTTGAAATCAATAAAAATATATTAAAAAAACGTCAGCTTTGGACAGGACAGTGCCAGCATTTGGATGCGTGTGTCTCCCGTCTCTGCAGCGCGGCGGGAGTGAGAACACGGGAGTTACCACCTGCGGGGCCACATGCAGCGGTCCCGTCACCGTCATATCCGAGAGGAATTACAAAAGCTGATGCATGTCCTTGTTTTTTGTCTAGTTATACAATAATGGGTAGTTTTAATAACTTGTCATAAAATGAGGAGAGATAGCCAGGATGTTAGGATGAGGTTTCTTTCTGAAACTTACTGCCCATCAGAAATGGAAGATAAGCTATTTGTAGAAGGGGTGAAGGAATGGTGATTTAGGTGACTTGGGGGAATCTTCAGGATTATGTGACACATGAAATTGTTCGTGACATTTAGTTTACATCTGTCCTGAAGTTGGTCTTGTTTTATTGTAATGTGGCCTAGCTGTCATTCATTTCAGCTATCACTAAGTGTGTGGGTGTCTGCATTTACAAATGCTTTGGTATTCACCTCAATTCTAGAGCAAATTGCTGTTATAAAGGTGCAAATGGTGACTATGTCCAGTATCTGAAAAGCTTTTGAAGGCCCTGTATTACCCAATGTAAACAGTTATCTATGGGTGACTCTAAGCCCCCAAGAACTGGGGTCCTTGAATGTGCGCCTGTCTCCACGTTTCCAGACGGTGTCTCAGCGCTTCCTGCGTGGATTGTCCTGTGACCACACTCCGGGATCCGCCAGCGGCCTGGCGAGCAGGGCCTCACCTCGACCACCATCTCTCGTTAACTTGGACCTCACCCAGGCTGCTTTCTCTGCTTGAATGTCCTCTCCATGTTCCAACACCATCTCTTCCCGGTCAGTCCCTTTCTGAGCACCTGTCGGCACAATTTTCTCTCCTCAAGGGCAGGGTCTTGGCTGGGTAATAAGTGATGTTACAAATGTTTTGGCAACTTGAAAGCATCATCCACGTACTGGTCTGATGAAGCTGTTATCTTGGCCTCTCAATGTCATGGATAATGAACATTTTGTTGTATTTAGGCAATCAGTGATCTTTTCTCTCTTCCTATGGTTGATACAACGCCCATTTTCCTAATCAGATATTGATAAGGAAAGTTGTCAATCAAGTTTACTCACCATTTTATTTCATCAAAGCAAGGAGGAAAATGCAAAGCTGTTCTCAAAACTATTTTAACCATGGGGTTTTGGGTTGAAAATTAAATGCGTGTGTCTCTTGTCTCTGCAAAATTATCTTACCAAAATAATACTGAATTCTAAAGACCTTTTTATATGCTCTATAAAAACACCTCACATAGTTGCTTTGAAACTTGGCCAAATTGAAAGATTATCGGGGTCTTCCAGGAATTTTGTTGGAGCTGCAGTTATTACTATCAGAGCGTGAGTCAGTCTTTACCGTGCATGTCTGTATCTATCAACCCCCGGGGGAACTACATATTTATCATGTCTTTTGTCCAGTGCTTCCTTATGATGAGGAAGAAAGAACATGATTTTGGTGTAAATCTTGTCAGGTTCCAGTTCAGCTACTACCTGTTTTCTAGTCTGCATCGCTGGGCCTGGGGAAGGGTTGCTCACTTAATGTGTGATCTACAAAACCCGCCCGATGAGTCCACTTATTTTCTGTGGTGACCGTCTGCTGTGACATGTGTCCTAAACTTGGTGTCTCCATCTCCCACCCTCAGGGCTACAGTGGCTCTCCTGACCCATAGGGTGGCCTTTTCTCTGCATAGCAAGAATCTTAGTACATCAAAATGTTTTTTATTTGAGACACAAAAATGCAAAATTGCTGAGATATCAAACATTTTCCGATCCGCTACAATACTGCCACTATGTACAAAAGATCTGATGATAAATGTGCACACATATAAAAATACAGTATGCATTACCTATGTACAGTACATGTGCAAAACATATGGCATTCAAACATGATATGGAATTGATTTCAGGGGTGCAAACAGCAAATACAAAGGCATCATGGTTTTTCTTTTAAAAAACAACATAAAGGCAATACATGAATGGACCCCCGATTGCCATAATTTTTTGTTTCTTAAATGAGTGCTTTAATAAGCAGGGCTCTGTAGATTGGTATTTTCTCTCTGTTTTTTTCATAAAGTGAGATGCTAAGACATAATGTGACAATGAAAGTAAGAGAAACACCTATCACGTTGCATATCTATTGCAAGCAAGAAAACTAAGTTGTACATAGAAAGGAAAAAACTTTGTATTACTACTAAATATGTACTATCCTAAACCAACAAAACAAATCTATACTATTTTACATGAAAACGATAGAGAAATATCTACACCTCTGAAATTATAACCTTAAATGGATAATACATTTTTGGGACTGATTTTTGAGATCTCATTAGTCTCAAATTTTAAATAAAAAGTGCCTCCTTTTGGCAAATACTTGGCAATGCCTTTGGTTCCTTTAAAGCAAGTTTGCATTACTACTGGTTACTTGAGGTTAAGTACTTTTGGTAGATACTAAACCCTTTCCTAAATGCTCTTCCTCCTACCAAATCAGCAACTTTTCTTAGAGCGTAATGTAGAGAGGTAATTGTTATGAGTCTCGGTGATTCATGAACTTGGTTAAAGCTTCGACTTAGTAGTTGGCACAAAGCTCTGTTAAACACGACAGCTGTGTTGATATCGCCACTGACAAATTTTATCTGATTCCAGACAGCACCTTGTAGATCTGAGATTGCCATCCTATTGTTACAAGACTGTGACTTTTCAATAACGATTCACAGAGCAATGTGTTCATGTGGAGGGTTAGAGCGCTTTTGTAAACATGTGCAGCTTTTTAAATTACAGGCCGCGAATCAAAGATTTCTGGTAGAAACCCTTTGCAATGATGCATTCCCTCGAATGCTGACAGAAGGGTGAGCAGGGAAGAACATACATTGCCATGCAGACAGTCACTTCACACATAAAAATGTAGCCTGGAAAGATCACTGAGCAAGATCTCCAAAGTCTGAGAAGGAATTAATACATCTGAATTATTTTCCAGTTTTGACTGAAGCCACTTGTAAAAGATGAGCTGAAATGCAATTAGGATGCTCTCCAAACACACACGTCCGCACTGGTAAGCTGTGTTTCTTGATAAACCTGACCTTCCAGTTAATGTTTTTGGTAATTTGGGCTAACTCTGTGGCCTGAAGGGCAGTGGACAGTCCGTTTGGTATTCTGCTCTGCTCCCCGTAGCCAGGATTCATGTTTTTGGTGATGGATGGGAAAATGGAGGGTTATTGTGAATGTGGTTAAATGGACCCGTGCTGCTCGGCTGGTAGACTCCTGATGACTATTCTCCCCAAAGTCCCCAGTGGTGCTGGGTGCTCCCCACCTGACTGACAGCAACTTGGGTGAGGCTAGCCACCAGGCGGCCCCTGGGAACAGCGTGTGGTGTGCACTGGGTGCTGCCAGAAAGCTTTACCACTTCCCTCCGGCCACTGTGTCTGCAGACAGTAGAGGGACTGTCCCATCACTTGTGGGGACAGCTGTCTTGTCAGCTGTTGTGGCTGGCCAGCTGTGTGACCTGGAATGATCTGGGGTTGAGGGTGAGGAAGCCTGCGTCAGCTCTGGTGACAGGATGGGTGACATGCTCCTGACACAGCTCTCAGTTGCTATCTTATTACCTTCACTTTGCTTACAAGAGACGGCAGTGTGGAGGCAAAACCAGACTGCCCTGGCCACTGTTCTTAAACGGCGCTTACAAAAGTGTCAGTTACATGGGTCACAGGACTGTGCAGTTTTTAAAAAGGAAATTTAAATAAGATCTCTTTAGTATTATAAAAATATTCATATAAAACAAGCACAAATAGTATCTGAATGAGAAATTCTATGAATTCAGAATACATCTGTGTACAAACATGTGGCAAGTACTATACAGTAGATTGCACATTTCAGGAAAAACACTAGAACTCGAACCACTAACACTGTCCCTAGTTTTCTAGCACATGCTTTGCTGAAATGTACAAGACAGCCACACACTCTAGACTCCCAAGACTGTGTAAGAAGCTTTGGTATAACTTCTGTGCATCCCACCCCCAGGACATGACTGCATACCTATATACACCAGGAAGGTAACTTGATACTACTGTGTTTCAGGAATATTTAGGGAAATAAGACTGGATGTGAGAGAATACATTTCTAGGAGTTGTTTTGAGAGAATACATTTCTAGGAGTTGTTTTCTTGGCAATAGGATATTCTGCAAGATGATCTACAGCAGTACCTCTGCATACGAAAATCCAACCGGCTGTTCTGACCTGGGCTTTAAACCTCACCTCAAACAACACAGACAGTCCTCTTTAACACACACCTTTCCCACTGCGTTTACCCCTAAGTACAATGAGTTGGGGCAAAGGAGCCTTGATTAGAGTGTCATCTTTGGTCATGTCACATGCTGCACACGATCTGTGTCCTCCCTCTAACCTGGAACATGTAGCTGGGATCCTACAGATGCCCAGCTTGCTGCTCAGGCCAGGAGGGCCCAGCGGAATGGTGTGAGTAGGTGGCTGGTAGACTTAATAACTGGACTCCTTGCCTTCCTTCCTCCTAAACGAAATGCTGGTATGTGAAGAATTGAACACAGATGTAAGTGGGCACATTAGCAATACAGTCCAAAGAGAGGAGGCTAATGAGGCGGCATTCTTTGCACTGCATGTGTTTGGAGAGCAGCCTTCCGCGGCATGTTTCAACAGGGGGCTAGGAAACGATCTATGCACACAGCTTGGGAAGATGGAAACACAAAGTTCTTCAGCGAGTCAGCAGCACTAGCTGTTCAGTTGCCTCCTACAGTCCCGCTGATGTCTGGTGCTAATAAGCCATTTAAATCTGAATAAAGATGATGCTTAGAGTCCAAGTATGGACCAGATAAGCTCCAGACAAAAACCCATCTCAAAGACTTGCCCAAAGAAAGTACCTTTCTGAGTCCACAGCCCTGCCCCGGAGACAGGCCCTTCATGACTCGAAGATGCACGTTGTGCCCACGATGGTGACGGTGACACTCCTGCTGGGTTTGGTCAGACAGCAGCATGCTGGATCCCACACGTGGGATGACCAATTTCTAACAAACTACTCACCGCAGACTACACTGAGCATACCGCCTCTGCCCGGAACCATTCAGACGCACTTCAGGCTGGGAAGGGCCAGTTAACAGAGGGCTCCAGGGTCCTGGGCGACTGAGTTCTGGAAAAACGGACTTTTCTTACATGTAGTGAAATTTACAAACTGAAATAAAAATTTGAAATAAGATCAGCTTTTAGGCAAAACACAAACCCAGAAATGATTCACAAATTCTTTCCAAATAATGGGTCAGGTTGCCTCTACATGTCACCGTGGGAACAGTCACCAATGCCCAGAGAGCAACTTGACCCCAGGGCTCACACAGGTGAGGTGGAGAGCACGAGAGTATTATTTAATGAAAACCTCCACACTTTTTGGTAGATTTCAGGGTTTTTTTTTCAGTTTTATACATTTTGTCATATACTTAAATGACTATTTCGAAATCATTTTAGAAATCCTGTGATAGTTGGCATTTTAGAAAAATCTTAAGAAACTACTCAACAAATGTGATAACTTTTTGTCTATATAAAAAATGAATAAAACCTCCAGTTTTTCAATCTTCGGCTTGAAAATATAGTGAGAGCTCAGGTATGACATCCAGTTCCAAAACTGTAAAGCAATGACAGGATGAGCGGTAGAAGAGGCAGCCAGAGCAGGAGTCCAGAGGCCAACTCGGCGACAGGCTCACCTGTAACCGGTGTGGGAATGTCCGGGCACGACAGACTCCTCCCTTGCCTTCGCTTTGCAACTCACCAGCTCAGAAAGATATTTTACACTAAAGCCTTTTCTTGGTTCTTTGAGATGGGTCTGGTTACCTGAAAGTTATTTCTTAAAATACAGAAATACATGTGTCTCAAGTACTCTAGAAATATGTGACTTATTAAAAGAAGTAGGGCCACTGGATACCCAATTCTGTATCCCCATGTAGGCTGTACAAATCCTAACATAGCACAAATATATGTCTAATTTACACATTAAGTCAATCTAATCAACCCAGAGGATTGCCAGCAGAATTTTCAGTGTTACCAATAGACCCAGACTTTTTACAGGGGATTGTTTATGAAGTGTTTTGAAGACATTGTCTGGTTATAGTGAAAGAACTTTCATTTACATTTGGAAATCTAAAGTAAGATTCCAAAAATCACAAAATAAACTACAACACAAAAATATTACATTGGTTTCTGAATGGAACCAAAAGTCTTCAGCTGGAAGCCTTCGCCGACTGGCTGGTGCTCTCCGCTGCCCTTGATCCCTGCTACGTCTTGGGCCGGCTCAGGCCGCGCTAGAAATACAGGTGCGGTGATCCCTCACCTCCCTCACATCAGCATTCTTGTTTGAGTGGAGCTGTCTGCCTTGTATTTAGGGCCTGAAAGTGACCACAGAGGTTTAAATGTAGTTGATTACCAGAGAATCTGCATGTCGTTATCCTGCACACATTACTCTATGTTTTTATCTAAAGGTGCTTTTCATTCTTTACTGAAGTCTGGAGAAACAGAGGTCTTCTTTGACTAGTGATTTTTCAGAAGGCCCTGTGCTATATTAAACGGCAGACATTCACTGCTGGGTGCAATGAAACGTTCTCAAACTTGGTTTCCAGGCTGTGACCATCTATTCGTTATTTTCTGTGACAACATGTTTTCATTGCAATGATGCAACTATAGATCTGTCTCTAAAAACTGACCTTTTAGAATCGTCTTCTTAAACCTCGTGAACGCGGACGAGAAATCTGTGATGTTAGTCCCATGGCAACGGCAGGTCTTGGGGGTCTAGAAAGTCAGCAGAGAACATGCTTGGGGCAGTGGCGCTGAGGGGAGTGAGTCCCGACGACGTGTTAGGCATGGTGATGTCCAACCACTCCATGTTGTCCAGGTTTGAGTCAGAGAGGTCAAGTGACAGACAGGGAGTACTCGCGGCGAACTGGGCCTCGGAGGTCTCCATGGGCGAGTGTGAGGGGTCCAGCATGCCCGAGTGGCTCAGCAGGTCGTTCTGGAGGTCCTCGATCAGGGAGAAGGGCTCTCGGTCCTCGCTGCTGCTTGGTAGTGGGGTAATTTCATTGGCTGAAGGTAAAGTCCCATCCAAGAAAGCTTCCAGTTGGTTCTCTAAGCTGGCAGATAAACTGCTCAGAGGTTCTAAGGATATGGGCGGTGCCATTTGGACCTGGGGTGGTGGCCGGGACACCACTGTGTTGACTGGCATTGTGGTGATGCTGGCTGTCACTGGTCTCATTTTGGAAATAGGAGAAGGCTCTTCCTTTATAGGGAGGGAAATTTCTGTGCAAAATAAATAGTAAGTAAACATTTACTACTATGTACATTTTTTATTAATTACGGAGTTATTTTACTATTTTATGACGACTTAATACACAGCCCATCTTAGAAGTAGGAAGATAATGCTATTGACCCCTGATGACCTTTAGGAAGATGGATCATTTTAGTTAAATAAACATTTACGTTATAGCATTCTGACATGCTTTCAGTTCCTTTTAGTAAGAGTAAGCATTAAAAGCAATTACATCCCACCAAGTAGGATGATGTTTTTAGATGATCTGATCATTGGGTCCCATTCTCAGGCACTGTAGGTTTAAGACAGGGGCTCTGTACCACAAATCTGCGATCACAGCAGTACACTACCCTAAAGTGAATGTGAAAATGTGGGCCCTGTGTAATGAATGATCTAACTATATTTGTTCTTTTTTATCATTATATTTGAACTTTGTGTCCAGTTTAGCCGTATCCATTCTATATAAAGTTCTGAAAAGATACAATGCCATCATATGACCTGATTTAAGATGAGGTGGGCCACCTTATGTGTCTTGTTTTTTCAGTTTATATAAAATCTTGAGGATTTGGTAAATGTCTTAAGAAGTACTAGTTATATGTTACTCCTTGCCAGATCATGTAGAAAATTAATGGACCAGTGTTCACTTAGCTACATATAAGAGAGTGAAAAAGATACTTTAAAAATATATATGAGAATCTGACTTGATTTCATTTATATACAATACACTAAACATTTTACTTAACGGCTCTTCCAACTCAGTGACTGGGCTGCGTAAATAGGTGAGACAACACTGAAGATTCCTCTCAGCTGTGTGTGTTTCAGGACAGTTCACTTCTCATGACCTGTGAGTCATCTCTAGAATTGTTTTGAAAGCTGAAAGTGCAATTTATACTTATAAGTACAACTAGTATTATAATCAACTACTTAAATCTCTCATTATTACTAGTATTAGTTTATAACAAGATGAAATAATATACTCTATTAGATACTTTGCCATAAAAAATCATTTCTTTTAGAATATAACTCATTTCTAAGTTTAGGCTGTAAAATTATTCTTTTTAATCATTAAAAAAAGTATTTTAACCAGATTTGGCAAAAAGCATTTTTAAAATTTTAAATTCAAGGCATGGAATATATGTTTCTCTAATTTCCATAGTTTAGCTATATCATGAGTTTAAACAATTTTGCGAGGCCGATATAGTTATTCGCAAAAAAAATATTCACATATGTAGATCTGTTGTCAAATATCAAGAATTTTCTATATTATGTCAAACATTCTGACAAGATTATTAACAACAAAATCAAATAGTACCTGGCATGAGTGGAGAAATTTTGATAACTATTTAAAAATCTGAATAAAACTCCTTTCACTGGTAAATTTAAGACTACTTTAAAATATTCTAAAATAGCATTTGAATTTTTGAGGTACTTATAAACTGAGGCAGAGATCCTTGATTTTTTGGTGTGGTTCATATCCCTTACCCCTTTTAAGATGACACATTGTAAAATTGAAGATTTTCATTTATATGTAGAAAGTGTTTTAGAATTGCCTTTGGATATTAATCAAGTTATTAGACCCTAAGCTAGGTGACTTGGTTGTTACAAAATTAACTCATGAATTGGAATATTTTTATCCCATTGCAATGACTGATAACACATGGAGCAAGTTTTGAAGCTTTCAATGTGGAATTTATATCTGTCTACTTTGCTATTTTGAGATGGTTTGTCTTTTTCAGCAGGTATGTATCTGTGGGTAAATCTAATGTTATCTTAGTATTTTAACCTGAAACAATGGCTTTCCCCCATTCATAAGTAAATTGTATTAATGGCCTAAATGTAACAGATTTTAAAACAGGAAATGCAGTTAGAAGAATATGTAAGCTCTAGAGGAAAACTTTCATATCATGTGATAAGGGATTGGGGGTCTGATGTGACTTTTCACCTACCTCCACTCTTAATGAGGATATCAAAGAGGTCGTCCATCTGCTGACTGTGTGCATTGGAAACCTACAACCAAGGAGAATATAAATTAGCTTTTTTTCATACAAACCAGGAAGTGTTATACAACTGGGAGCACCAAAGGACCTTACGGAGCAGCTAGTTCTAATCAATCACTTGATCATTTTGAAAACACCGAGGTCCCCTGAGAAGTTAAACCATTCACCCATGTGTTACAGCTGGTGAGCTGACAGAGCAAGAATGGGGCTGATACCAGCTCAGATGACTTTTACACTGACTTGTACATTGAGTGCATTTTGAGAGGCTTCTCATATTTTAAAAACTGTTTTAACTCACTTGCTTATATTCTGATAAAAATATAAAGTATGTATAAAGGTGACCATCTATATTTTTTCAGCTTTATTGAGAGTAAATTAACATACAATAACCTGAAGTTATATGAATTATACAATTCTATAAGTTTTGACACATGTATACACCCATAAAACTATCAGCAAAATCAAGATAATGAATATTCTATTGCTCCTAGCTTCCTCATGCTTCTTTGTGATAGCACTTCCTTCATCCCTAGGCGACAATAACTTGATTTCTCCCATTACAGATTAACTTACATGTCTAGAGTTTTATAGAAATGGACTCATATAGTGTGTACTCTTTTTACTAGTAGAGGGAGTGGCTTCTTTTACTCAATAGGATTTTGAGGTTTATCCATGTTGTAGATTATACCTTAGGAATAGTTCATTCCTTTTTATCGCTGAGAAGTTTTTTATTGTAAGAAACAAATCTGATTGGGTTGTTCCTACATTTTGGCTACTACAGATAAAGTTGCTATGAACATTTGTGTACAGGTCTCTGTGTGTAAATACCGAGGAGTAGAATGACTGGATCATAGGGTAGGTGTGTGTTAAACTTTTTAAGAAATGGCTGTTTTCCAAAGCAATTGCACATTTTACATTTTCACTAGCAATGTACGAGATTTCCAGTAGCTCTTCATTCTCTTCAACACTTGGTGCAGTCAGCCACTTTAATTTTAGACAGCTAATGGGCCTGTAGTGGTATTGCATCGTGGAGTTAATGTGCATTTCCTAATGACTTGATGTTGCATCTTTTCATGTGCTTCTCTGCCATCTGTGTATCTTTCTTTGGTGATGTGTCTGTTCAAATCCTTTGCCTATTCCAGACTTCTTATGCTTACTGTTTTCATGGTATATGTTTTTCCAACCATTTATTTTCAACCTGTGTCTTTATATTTAAAGTATGCTACTTGTAGATGCACACATTAGTTATTTATTACTCTATTATAAAACTTCTAAAACACTTCGTGGCTTAAAATGCTAGACAATTATTATCTCACAGTTTCTGAGTCAGGAATTTAGGATTGGTGTAGATGGGTAGTTCTGGTTTGGGGTCTTTCATGAGATTGTAGTCAAGATGTTGGCCAGGTTACAGCGATCTCCAGGCTTGGCTGGAGAATGTTAATTTTGTGTGTGTATATACAATGTTGAAGGCAGTTTATTTATTCCTAAATGGGAACTTTTTTTTACTTCAAGAATGATTTTAAATATAATAATGTAACATGCAATAAATATCTCACAAAAAACTATTTTAAATATAATGTTACATGCAGTGAACACCAATTCAAGAAAAATGATCTTAAATATATTACATGCAATAAACATTAATATTTTAGGAAAAAAGGATTTTAAGTATAGTAATATTACCAACACTGTACTAACATAGTATGATATCACAAAAGTTGTAGGAAATATTAAAAATCTGCAAATAACAGGATTACTTCTATTATATTCTAAAATATTATTTTTTCCCCTCTGGCTCTATTTTTGTTCATCAGTTTATGTTGTTCATTATATTCCACAAATGAGTGAGATCATGTGATATTTATCTTTCTCTGACTGACTTATTTCACTTAGCATAATGCTCTCTTACTCCATCCATGCTGTTGCAAATGGTAGGAGTTCCTTCTTTTTTACAGCAGCATAGTATTCCATTGTGTAGATGTACCACAGTTTTCTAATCCATTCATCTGCTGGTGGGCACTTAGGCCGTTTCCAAATCTTAGCTATTGTAAATTGTGCTGCTATGAACATAGGGATGCACATATCCTTTCTGATTGGTGTTTCTGTTTTCTTGGGATATATTCCTAGAAGTGGGATCACGGGGTCAAATGGGAGTTCCATTTTTAATTTTTTGAGGGAACTCCATACTGTTTTCCACAGTGGCTGCACCAGTCTGCATTCCCACCAGCAGTGCATGAGGGTTCCTTTTTCTCTGCATCCTCGCCAGCACTTGTCATTTGTTGGTGATAGCCATTCTGACAGGTGTGAGATGGTACCTCATTGTCATTTTGATTTGTATCTCTTGGATGATTAGTCACTTTGAGCATTTTTTCATATATCTCTTGGCCTTCTTTATGTCCTCTTCCGAAAAGTGTCTATTTAGGTCCCTTGCCCATTTTTTTATTGGATTGTTTAAGTTGTATGAGTTGGAGACTGTTCTTGTAAAGGTGGCTCATTACATGACTGGCACTGGTGCTGGTTGTTGATAGGGGTAGGGGTGGAGGGGCTTCAATTCCTGTCCCCAGGGTCTCACAGCTCACATTCCCCCACACCCAGCAGTCCAAGAGAGAGCAAGGCAGGAGGAGTATGCCTTTTATCACTTTGTTTAGGAAGTCACACACCATCACTTCTGCCAATTCTGTTCCTTAGAAGCTGGTCACTAAGTCCAAACTAGGGAGTAATATCTAAGAATTTGTAGACATATCTTAAAACTACGACACAGCATATAGTTAGTTCTGTTTTCTTTTTTCATCCATTCTGATAATCTCTACAATTGTTTTCTCTACTAATGTGTCTTGTGTAATCATTGATATGGTTAAGTTTACCATTGTCTTATTTCTATTTATCCTGTTTTCTGTTCCTCCTTTCCTGTCCTTTTACAATTTTATTTTTATTTTTTAAAAGCTATACTTCTTGTTATCTATACAATATACATTCTTAATTTTTCATAGGCTAAGTGTCCGACTGTTTGACCAGTTGCCATGATGCACACTGATCACCAGGGGGCAGATGCTCTGACCAGTAGGTTACTTGCTGCTGGGGTCCGGCTGATCGGGACTGGGCAAGATGGGCTGGACATGCCCTGGAGCCCTCCCACTGTCCCTCCCCAGCTTCTAAAATATTTATTTTAATTAATTTCCTTTCATTATGCATGAATCAGTGCAACGGGACTCTGGTAAAATATAAAATCTCTGTAAACATACTGATCCATTTATTTCCTGTATCCTTTAATAATCTATCCTATATAATAAAAGAGAAACATGCAAATTAACCATCCCTCTGCTACGCTCAAGCCACACCCACCACCAATCAGTAGCGAGTATGCAGATTAACCCAACTAAGATGGCTGCGGCCATGGAGCTGGAGCGAGCAGGACGCTTGGGTTGCCCCTGGTGATGGAGGAAGCCAAGCTTCCCGCCTGCCCTGGCTGGCCCTCGGCTCCACTCAAGGCTACAAAGTTTTAATTATAGAAGATAAATAAATTTCAGAAAAAGCAAAAAAAAGCAAAAAAGGAGAGGCTGGGAGCTTGGGTTGCCGGGGGGCGTGGCTAGCCTGAAAACAGCCATCAGCCCCTCACCCAGGCTGGCCAGGCACCCTAGTAGGGACCCCCACCCTGAAGGGGGTGTGGCCAGCCTGAAAAGAGCCATCAGCCCCTCACCCAGGCTGGCTAGGCACCCCAGCGGAACCCCCACCCTGATCCGGGACACCCTTCAGGGTAAACCAGCCGGCCCCCACCCGTGCATCAGGCCTCTATCCTATAATATAAAAGGGTAATATGCAAATTGACCCTAACAGAACGACTGGGAATGACTGGTCACTATGACACACACTGACCACCAGGGGGCAGACGCTGAATGCAGGAGCTGCCCCCTGGTGTTCAGTACGCTCCCACAGGGGGAGCTCTGCTCAGCCACAAGCCAGGCTGATGGCTGCCAGCATAGCGGTGGTGGCGGGAGCCTCTCCCGCCTCCTCAGCAGCACTAAGGATGTCCAACTGCAGCTTAGGCATGCTCCCCCTGGCAAGTGGACATCCCCCGAGGGCTCCCGGGCTGCCAGAGGGATGTTTGACTACCAGCTTAGGCCCGATCCCCTGGGGAGCGGGCCTAAGCCAGCAGGTGGACATCCCCCAAGGGGTCCCAGACTGCAAGAGGGCACAGGCTGGGCTGAGGGACCCACCCCTCCAAGTGCACAAATTTTTGTGCACTGGGCCTCTAGTATATATATGAAAGGCTAATATGTAAGTGTCTGACTGTCCGGGTAATGACATCACGTAGCAATGCCCGGCTTCCTCTCCCTAGCAACTAGCCTCCTTGCAGTTTCTTCAGCCCAGGAACATGACTTGTTCATAGTCAGCTGTTAGCAAAGGTCAATGCTTACCTTGAGCCAGCCCTGTCCATTGTTTTTATGCATCTAAGATAACTGATCAGAGCAATTTTCTTTTCCTCCTAAAGGCACAACCACTGGCACAAGACCATGGAATCCCTCTTGTTCCCTTGTTCCTTGCATACGATCTCTGTGTGCTGTAAAAGAGGTATGTGTTTCTCTAGATAATTTCTCCCGCCTCCTTAATTTACCAACAGTGGATTTCAGGTAACCCTCCTTAATTCTTGTCCTTTGATTCTAATCCTATCTAATAATAGAGAAACATGGTAATTAACCGTAACTTCGCTACCCTTCCCATTGGCTAATCAGCAAGATATGCAAATTAACTGCCAGCCAAGATGGCGGCCGGCAGCCAGGCAGCTGAAGCGAACATGAGGCTTGCTTGCTCCAGTGATGAAGGAAGCCAAGGTTCCCCGCTTGCTGCCGCCTGGCTCTGAGCTCCTGAAGCAACAGCTACAAAAGATACAATGTTTCAATTATAGAAGCTAAAATATGGCGGTTAATTTGCATATACCAGTTGTGAGGGAAGACTGAGGACAACATGGAGGCCAAGCGGTACAGAAGGGAGCAAAGTAGAGGCCTCGAGGACAGAAACAGAGCCAAGGCTGCGGAGGTGGGAGAGGGAGGGGAAACCCAGCAGGAGCATCTGGGAGCGGGAGGGGAAACTCAGCAGGAGCGGCTGGGAGCGGGAGGGGAAACCCTCAGGAGTGGCTGGGAGCAGGAGGGGAAACCCACCGCAGCGCCTGGGAGGGGGAGGGGAAATGCAGCAGGAGCGCCTGGGAGCAGGAGTGGCTGGGAACAGGAGAGGAAACCCAGCAGGAGTGGCTTGGAGTGGGAGCGAAGCCCGCCTCAGCGGATTTCGCTCCCCTCTCTGCTTTGCTCCAGCTGCTGGAAGCCCTATTCTTGCAGGAATCTTACTGAAACGGGCCTCTAGTCCTATATAATAAAAGAGAAACATGTAAATTGGCTGGTGAGCGTAGCGGAGGGACAGTCAATCAGGAGAGTATGCAAATTAACCTGACAAAGATGGCGGGT